CAGAGAGTCACTAATGATTCATTAACAGAAAAAGTTTGGCCCTTTTTTATTTTTGCAATGCTTTAATATAACTATTTATTGTTGCTATTCTTGTTCGACATCACGTATATTTCTAAAAAAAAATCTATGTATGACGGACAGATTTCTTTTCCTGCACGCTGATACTGAACCGCGTATATAGTTGCAATATTGAAGATTGGAAAGTCGCGATAAGCGACGATCCCATTCTCATCAATACTTTCGTTGAAGAAGAATCGATTCACCAGTTGGCCGGGGAATGGATCAGATTAAAGAAACTCAGGCCATAAGACATAGTAATCGGAAGCTTCACGTCTCGTAAAAATACAGTCGCCATGCAAGAGCCATATTGAAAACAATCGCGATTAAACGTTGCCTAAGCATCGCGAAGGATATCTTACATCGCTGCGGAACATTTGCGGAGTTGCAAACGGATGTAATAACCGCAACGGATGTATTTGCGATGTATCCGCAAGTGTAAATACACGTTCGGTGCTCCCGCAACGTTTCTATAAGCCTTCTTCGATGGCGACGTAGGAACGCTACAATCCTACCGACTATTTTCTCTTCTGCTTCTTTTTTTTTTTGTTATCGCAGCCGTGAACTATTGCAAAATCACGCCGACTCGTCCATCGTTGCGTGCGATCATTACAGAAAAGGAATCGGGACAAGGTTGGGTTGCGTTTCTCAAAATGACGTACGTAAATCGAGCTTTTATAACTCGCGTGCGTCGCGCATATTTATAAGAGCGTTATCGCACGTGTGCTAGCCGACCGGAACATACCTTTGCACCATTACACACCTTTCTGTCCCTCCGACATCCTCCGACATCGTCGACTTTTTCCAAGCAAGTTATTGGCCGAAGATGCAATAAATCAATGTGATTTTCAATCCAAAAATACCTTGAAAAGTTAAAAATACGAAACGGCATATTTATGATTTAGTGCTGTTAAATTTTATATATATACATTTAATTTAAAATTCATATTTTATATATAATGGATGCAAGGAAGGATAAATATGTTAATTTTTCAACTTGTCGATGTGAAAATAATTCTTATTATTATTATTCGAATTGATGGTTTAATTATGGAAATATTTATCGAGGTTGTAATTCGATCGCGCCCGAGGCTGTAGTAGCATAATAAGGTAAATCTCCGATCAACGCCTCGACGATAAAAAGAAATTCTTCAGAAGGCACTCGCTTCTCGCTAGGAAAAAGTTGACGCTTCGGTTGCTTCACGCATGCGAGCGTGAATTATGTTGCTCTCTACGCCGCGATGAACTTTATTACCGTGACATAAATCTGTAATGAGCAGCGTGCGATCATTATCAATCTGAAATCAAGTAAACGTACCAACGACCTCTCTAGTTGAAAACTGTGTTGAGCAAAAGTTCAAGTAAATATCTACGAGTGCCTTGAATTTCTCAGAAAGTGATTTTTGAACGAGGGCATGTTTGCGCAAAAATGAGTATTTATAAGATTGATTTACTTGCGGAGGCAACATTCTCTGACGAGATAAACATTTGTGAGGTCAAATAATAAATAAGTTGATTTTTTTTTGCGAAATCAGCTATAAATCTTTGGGTTTGTCAATATTTATGCATATTTCCAAATTTACAATTCAAATAACCCAAGAGCTCAGCTATAATCAATCTCGAGAAAATAATAGAGGTTTTCAATCTTCTTCTTAATAAATAAGATTGACTGAAACACACACATGAATTACACGCTAGCTATTAAAGTCAACATTTAATACGCGACATAAAATTCACGAGCGGTGGGGGAAACGAGGGAGGGGGCGCGGTTATTTTGCGGCAGAAGAGAGTTTGCGCGGATCAAGAGCGATCCCGCGGCTGTACGCCGGATGAAATCATACACCGAGTTTACAATTTGACTCATCGATTTGAATCATTATTATCGGAGCAATGAGACATTTTCGCGTTGGGGAACGTGGTGGTTCGCGCGTAACGCGAGCGGCGCGTTACGCGCCTCTCGATCGCCCGTCCGATTTCTTCCGAAAACGGACGGTTACCGTCGACGGCGCACGCGGGCTCCGACCGCGGCCGCGCGCCGGTCGGCGCGCAGTCGCGTGCTTTCAAACCGGAAGAGATATCCCGTGTGTTTAATTTATCGGTTACGGAGAATCGGCCGTCGGCGACGTCGCCCCGGAGGAACGGCACCGGACGGCCGCGGGGGCGAGGGCCCTCTCTCTCCTTCCTCCTCTCGCTTTTCTCTAATTTAAATAGATTGCGCAAGTGTCCCGGCGCGCGCGTTATGGTCCATTTGACCAGGTCCTCAGAAAACAGACGTCGTTCTCACAAGAGACCAGCAACACGGATCCCTTTCCGCCGCGCGCGTGTCACCGATGTAATTTACGCGCGCGCGCTCCGATTCGCGGGTATTATTATAGTTGCACGCGATGCACACGGATCGTTGTGGCAATGCTTGATAAAGGAAGAAAAAAAAGATTATCTTCGGAAAAGATTATCTTCTTAATTGTAATAATTAGGCCGCGAATACGCGGTGAATGAATCTCGATAAATTCAGAGCTGGCAGACTGGCAGATGGTGAAGGACGCGACCGCGGAGTCTTCGCCGAGTCGCGCTCGCTGCGGTGTAGTGTACCTATAGCATTGAAATTGCTGACTGACATTTTGATTGATTACCACGACGTGTATAATCAATATTTCTTTTCAATAAAATATCACGGCTTCTAAACTGTTTTTCTTATTGCTAACTCTCGTGCTATTTACAATATATATGTATGACCGGCTTGGTTTCATATATTTATAGCTGCGATCAGAGCCGCCTGACATCACTTTCCATGGAAAGTTCATTCAGATTCCTTTGTCGCGCAAAATCTAATCTTATTTCGCAAATGTTTTAGAAATCGCGATCTTATCTGAATTCAACAGTTCGTGATTCGAAAAAGAAATCTTTGTTTTCAACACGCTTCGAAACTTGAGAACAATTTGAAAATAATTTTGATAAGCAAAAATCCGAAAATCCGTAAGCGACGAACGTCGCTCGCAGCGACATTTTACTCTCTCTTTCCAGAATGATTTTCTCGGTGCGACGAAAATGATCGATGGAGGAGGCCCTTGCGAATATCAGCAGCGTCCCCTCGCTACGGATTTGCCGATCAGTAATATGCAATTCCCCACCGACCCTCCGAGGTCAACAATTTGTTACGGGGACGGGGATGTTCAAGGAATATATCAACAGCGCGCGGTTGATTGACCCGCCGTTGGAGAGCGACAGTTTTTTTTTTTATAACCGCGGCTGAAATCTTGCTGCGCCATTGCGAAATTGCGCGGATTGTGAACCGGAATAAAACGTAAATATTATTCGCAGCTTAAGTGCAGATTACACATTTGAGTAAAAGGAAAAAAAGAAAGAGAGAGAAAAAACAACGTATCTTCATTGACATTTGGTTTTCACGTTTTTCAACTTGATATGCGCGTGCTGCTTGCAGCTGATAAGTAATCATCAATGTAGCAATTCGACGCAATTACACGGAAAGAGCAGTTTTGCTGGATTATTAAAAAATGTAACATGATAATGCTGCAAAAAGTTTTGATATTCTAGCAATCAGTTTGAGTATCCTATACAATTATTTTCATGAGCCAACAACAAATTATTTTTATATCTATATCTACGGCTAAATTTTTTTAAATGCTTCAACAAAATTTTTTTTTTCATGTATAACATCTGTAATTATACCAAACTTGTAATGTACTATATATGTTATGATATATGACGCGAAGTTTCATAGATAATCAGTTTCCTCAAGCGGCTTCCTTCACGATTATACCGTAGTGTTATATATTTAAAACAGCACGATAAAGTAAAAGATAATCCGTGCGATTTATTTTGATTGATGGGCGCATTAGGTACAAAGGTTCTCTCATTTTGTACCCACACACGCGCGTAAAAATTGCCTTGCATTGGTCCTTGACATGAAGGCGTTTTAATTTCGCGCATCCTGCGCGACACGCATTGTCACTTCCACAAAATCCGACTTCCGCGGATCCTCGAAACGGCCGATTCCCACTACGCGCGGACCCCCGCCGTCATTTTATTATTTAGAGACGGTACAATGGCCTCTAATAAGATAATAAGTGGTTCTGAGACAATGAGTTATAACACGAAAGTGAGTCGACGACGGGGGCTTATAACGCCGTAAACGATGACTAAGGCTTGCACTAAACTACGCGCGAGCATAACATAATCGCAATAACAAAAGCGCTTCCTGTTTACACGCTGAAGAGCACTCTTCCGTAAGAAAGAAAGAGAGAGAAACGTTTTAATGAGAAAAAAAAAACACAACGCGCACATTAATTAATTTCCCCAAACTTGGAAATATAATAAATTACATTTCATAAGATACGGCTTTGCCCTCCCGTTATTCCTCGCGCCGGAACGTCGGTCTTCAGTTTCGCAAAAATGAGTTCGGAGGGAAAAATCAACTCGATCCGTCGCCAATTCGAATATTGCGAGCGCGCTAAGCGCCCGTTTTTATTCCGGTCGCACTGCAATCGCAGTCCGCGTGTTAACTCGTGACGAACGTTACGGACGGCTTGATAGACGATTACGACTCGCTTAAGCGTCATTACTTACCGAACAATACGAAATTGTACAATTAATTCAAGCTCGTTAATTGCCACACGCGGACAAGTCCGTTTTCCTCGTCTTCACTTTCTACAATTACTTCCATTCTGCTTTCTCTCCTCAAAAGCGCGAGCACGTAAACTCATATAGCGTGTTTTTAGATTCCAAAAGTAGGATGTTGAGTCAAAAGGAAGAGTTGCATTATGTGCAAATCGGTATTAATTACATTCAATCAAAGTTATTAATTGCGAATCTTTTTGTATTAATTCGTTTTCGCGTCTCTTGCTTCCTCTAATTATATCTTATCTACTTTAACGATGTTGCGCACGCAAAGAAATTACTATATACATACATATATATATATATATATATATATATATATATGTATGTGTGTGTGCTTGTGCTGCTCAAGAGTGCGTGAGATGACAAGGGTCGAGTGAGAAAAAATAAAGATTCGTGAAGAAATGCAATTCCGAAGTGATAAATCTGTATCTATGTAAAGACGTGTGCCAGTGTGTCCGCACAGGAAGAGTACAAAACAAAATTAATTTACGAAGATAAAGGGCTAGAGAGAAGAATAATAGATCAATTGAAGATAACCAAAGGAAAGTCAGTCAGCAACGTAGAGAAGTGACATAAGCAGGTAGGACAGGTGGGACAGTAGCATGAGTTCGTACTTCGCGAATTCGTATATCCCGGACCTGCGAAATGGCGGGGTGGAACACCCGCATCAGCATCAGCAGCACTATGGTGCGGCCGTACAGGTACCTCAGCAAACGCAATCGGTCCAGCAACAGTCCCAGCAAGCCGGCGATCCCTGTGACCCGAGTTTGTTACGTCAAGGAGTATCCGCCCATCATTATGGAACCACAGGAGGTCAGCAAGATATGCCTTATCCGAGGTTTCCCCCGTACAACCGGATCGACATGCGGAACGCGGCCTACTATCAGCATCAGCAGGAACACGGAAGTATGGACGGCATGGCCGGTTATAGGTCGACATCTCCGAGCACCGGGAATATGGGTCACATGGGACACACGTCAACCCCCAATGGACATCCGTCCACCCCCATCGTCTATGCCAGTTGCAAACTTCAGGCGGCTGCTGTCGATCATCAAGGCAGCGTTCTCGACGGACCGGATAGCCCGCCTCTCGTCGAATCGCAGATGCACCACCAAATGCACAGCCAGCATCCGCATATGCAGACGCAGCAGTCACAGCATCCACAACAATCGCAGCATCAGCATCTGCAGACACAGCAACAACATATGATGTACCAGCAGCAACAGTCTCAAACTGCTGCACCGCAACAGGGACAAGCTGGAATGCATCCGCAACAGCAGCAACAAGCTCAGCAGCATCAAGGCGTTGTTGCATCATCGCTCAGTCAACAGCAGCAAGGCGCGTCTCAAAGTGCGTCGTCTGCGAACTTACCGAGCCCATTGTATCCTTGGATGAGGAGTCAGTTTGGTAAGTGCAGTTTATACATTTTTAAAATTTATACAATTATGAGCTTTTTTTCTCAAACTTGAAATTATTATCACAACTAATGTTTATGAATGAGCAATTAATATATGCAATGATCTACT